AGGCAAGTAAATAAGTCGACTGGCAATAAATTGCTGAGCAAAATGACTTATACCGGTGTATGGCTTCCAGTTTGTAGCACTTAAAATTTATAAAAAATTAATTAGTGGATCTTTCTAAAAACCTGCACTAGTTTAACCTGATGAAAAGTGTGTTTTGTTCACCTTTGGATGTAATCTAGATGCCATTTAAAAATTAACATTACTTGACTTTTTAAGTGATGTATTATTAAAATGAAACCTTGATTATCTATTTGTAACACTTGAAGAAATGTATGTTATATGATACTGCTACTTTTGTTAATCTGAAGAAATGGATTAATATGCTGAAGTGAGTAAAAATCACAGTCCTGGCCAGCAGGCTCCTTGCATGCCCCCGGCAGTGCCAGCCTGGTGATCACGGCAACAGAGCCAGGAGGCAGAAAGACCTTCTTCAGTCCTAAATGCAGCATCCCCTTCAGAAATTGAAACTTAGTCTTGAATGCTTGAGTATATCACAATAATGCATTATTTTTAACAATCCTTTTTCATTACTTTAAAAACTCAGGTTGAAATATTGTTTTACTTTCTTTGTTCCTTTTTAAAGGAAAATTTACACTTTGCTATGAGATTTTCTGTATTCTAAGAAAACATTTCAGTTTTAGTTGTCCAGGTAGTATGATTCCCCACCTCCCTTTTAATCTGTGGACAGTCCAAATTTTTTTATTGTTTTTATAAAATGCAGATTTTCATTTAAATTTTGATAACCATTTCTTGGCTAAATTTTTTTAATATAGAAAAGTATAAAGGGTAATAAAGGAAACTCTCATAATCCCAGAACTCACCTCTTAGCTTTTAGACGGATATTGGATATGGATATGTCTTTGAAGGTTTTCACATTTGTATTATGATTATGAACAATACCTCTAGAATTCTCAGGATAGATTTTTAGTCTATATCTTTTTGAGGATAATTTTTGCTGGACAGCTTTGTTTATGTTTTAATATTATATTGCTAAAAACAATATAACATCAGACAAGATAGGGTGCATTCAGGGTGGTGTGGCCCTAGACTAAAAACAGTATCATATCAAGAAGAACAAATAATTTCCCTTAAGAAGGACAAATATAAATATATTTAGTCTTATACATATTATTATTGTACAGCCAGTGCAACATCTATTTTAGCTTTTTATGCTGATGTCTACCAAACACATAGTGTATCATAATGTGGCATATTTAAATGACTTTTAACAGACTATTATGTGGCGGGGTGGGGGGCGGGGACAAGCATTTTCTAAATGTTAACCTTTATCACTTTCTTAATCATAGATTAGGAGAATATACAATGTACCCAGTAGCACATGGGCACGAATACAGGAATAAAGGGGTTGAATTTAAGAGTCTTAAAGTTTTAATTATTTTATTTTTCTTCCTCCACGGTCTTAAATGTAGACTAAATCGAGGGACTGGAGTTTAAACTGCAAACCGCAGCATTCAGTCCAGCTGCATCCCGCTCCCCTCTGTGCTGCACATGCTGCAGGCAGACACCCAGTGCAAATGAGAACAAAGGCTGCGGACGCGTGAACTTGGAAATCTTCTCTTTGCTGCAACTAAGTGATTCTATATGTTTAGATAATAACCAATCGAAATAACTCATCGTCAGAAAACATTTAGAGGTCGCTTTTAAAAATATCTAAAAGCTCAAATAAATTGTTCTGTACTCTGCTACCAGATCTTTTGAAAAGCAGCTCTATATTTTATCTCTTCTAAATCTGCAAATTGACATTATTCTAGGAGAAATACATTTTATCACCTCTTCTAAATAATTTTCCTCCTCTCAGTAATTTTACATAGAAATCCAGATAATGTGTAGCAGTCTTAAAATGAGAGAAATTCACACTTACATGAATAACAATAAAAAAATAATATTCCTCTTTCTGCACCCAGGAAAAAAATCATTGTTGAATGGTTTATTGTCCTTTATATCCAGCTATACACTCCAAAACCAGATTGTAACATCAGCTGCCAGTTGAGAAAGCACTGTGGTTATCATTTTGCCTTCCTGGACTCCAAGTTTCATATAGATAGCAAAAAAGGGAGGCCATTTTAATTCCTTTTAGAAAGTGTTATATTGTAACTTAATTGACTCTTCAAAGATTGTCTTTGGGTGATTCCCCCCTACCCATTCCCTTGGGAAGAAAGGGGACTGCCTAAAAAGTTATCTCTTCTAGTTGTGTTAAAAGAAATGTTGACTTCCTTAGAGCCCCTCACTTGCCTTGGTGGGGAGATAGGTGTGCATTGAACAATTTCTCCACACCATGCTTTTGGGTTTTGAACAAAGGCAGAAGAGTAGTCTGGGAATTAGATATGATGCAGAAATAGTCAGTGGAATGCACAATCTGTAATTTATCAGTCTACACAATGGATTCCTTTCACTGGCGTTTGTTGCCTTGGTTATGTGTACTGACCGGCTATTTTGATGACTTACATAAGTATACTGCCTGGAAAATTACACTTCATTCTCTACATTCTTCCAGGTAAATTGAAGCATTTGTGTAGGGAACCTACAGGTCCCATGCAGTGTTTCAGCTTTAACATATGGCGACATATTCCTCATACCATGTTGCTTACAAGGTAGAAAGTAGTTCTGTAGGCAACCGGGTCCCCATCTAACTTTCCCAACCACCCCTTCAGCTTGCATTGAGTTACATGGAGAGAAATGCATGGAGTGCAGGTGGTCAGTGTGGCTCCTGCATAGACTGTGGAGAGGCTGGGAGCAGCCGAAAGCCTTGCCTATTCCCCATCCTATAAAGAAGACTTTGTCCTGACTGGGCAGCTCTTCCTAGAAACTGTTAGCTCGTAGCATGGACAGTTTCAGATCACAGAGCTATTTCATTAAATGTATGTTTAAGATGTTTAGCAGACTCTTTTGAACACATTTGCCTAAAGATTTTTTCCAAAAGTAAATTTTATTTGTTAAGCAAGGATTTACTTTGAGTCTTGTGCATCCTATTACTATAGTTTTTAGGCATGGTGACTATTCCCTACATGAATAATACCCTAACTTATTTATTGGAATGAGTAGGGGAGCTAGATATTGAGATAGGTACTTTAATGGGCATAATTTTATCCAGCTTTTACATCTCTTTGTCCTATAGTGATAAAAATCAGCCATCACTATAAAAGACACAGGGAAATAGAAAGAGCTCAAATAATGTGGAGTGCTTATGTCCAGGCAAAATAAAAGACACTTTATATCAGATCATTTAATTAGTTTATAGCCTGTAACTTAAGAAAATATAACTTTATAAAAGACTGACAGGAAATGTTTTGAACACTATTGTAAATGTCTTCATGAGTAAATATTCTTACAAGGCCCCAGAATTTATTTTTTCCCCAGTGAATCATAACATATAATTCTAAGTGAAAATTAACAACTCATGTTTTGTACACTGCATGATGCCAGCTTAAGAAATGTACATCCATACAAATGAAAAAATGCAGGGGAGGAAGTGTAGCTAATTATGTATGGTTAGCTCTGAGCAGTGAGGATATATGTGATTTCTAAATTTATATCTAGATTTCTATATCGCGTGTGCAATTTATCATCAGAGACAAGTTATTAAAAAGTACATAAATAAAGAAAGTGAACTTGATATTTTGGAGTCTGAGAATAAGCTCTCTCTATTCTTGTAAATTAACAACCAAAGGAATTTGTGTTGGTATGGGCAGTTCAGTGTTGGCTGCAGGATAATGCTAATAAGCATCTCTTGTATCTGGTAGTTTTATTTAAATGTTTTTATTGATTTTCCTTAGTGCTTTGTGGTGATAAATTCTTACACCTAATCTACCTGGTCAACAAGATTGACTTTGGAAGTAATTTGACAAATTATCTTGAGTTAGAACATCGTGGTGTGATTTATGCAGAGAAGAAAGGCTTTTTTCTTTTTAATTCTAATAAACTGATTAAACACTGTGTTCAAATTACATTTTAAATATCACTAAATGATAAGCACATTATCTCTTTCCCCCAGACTTAAATGATAACTTATGGTGAAATTCAAAATTTTAAAGGCAACTAAATATTAGAATAAAATATGACTTTTTAGGTCAAGTATCTAATTGACAGTTACTGTATATATAGAAAAATTTTTTTTCTGTACATTAGGGAAATATTAAGGTATGTTAAAAGGCCTGATTAGGCAATTTGAGAGTCCGAGGAAGACATGACCAAGCAGTTGATGACGGGAAGGCGTAATGTCTCTGGGAACTCTGGAGTCCAATGCCGTGTGGTGGTGGCGGGTAGATCCCAGGGTTTCTTTGGATAAAATGGGCACCATGGCATCAGTTAAAACAAAACTATGAAGTAATGAAGTAAAGTATTGAAAACTGACCTGTTTTGTTTAAATGTGACTTTGGGAAATGGACCGAGAAATTCTGTGGATGCTGAGAACCAATAAATCTTACCCTCCCTACTTGGAAAGAACTTCACAAAGGAAACATTGTGTAGTATCCATTCATGTATTTTATTTCTCGGTAATTTTGGAAGCATTCTCAAGTGTGTTTGGTTTTGCTCTGGGGTAAAAGACTACAGTTTAACCTCTGACCCATACACATACTCATTTCTGCTAATGACAATTTGATGCAAATTAAACCACATTTTATTGTATGGCAGCCTTTTGTGTGCCTATCAATTAGGGGTTTTTTTTCTTCTCTAAATACTAATAACACTTTATTTTTTAATGTCCTTTAAATTAAAATTAAATAAAATTCAAACTCAGCTCTCTTTTGCTCTAGCTACAATGTAAGTGCTTGCTAGCCCCGTGTGGCTAGCGGTCACTGTAATGCACAGCACAGGTCATAGGGTCTTTCTGTCACTGCAGAAAGTTCCATCACATAGCACCCATCTAAGGTATCAGGACACTTTAAAAATTCTTTGGACATATTTTCTGTATCTTAGCACATGCTTATGTTCCTTCACTTAAATGTTCATCTTCTATTATTTTATTTGATCTGTTTCAGTTTAAAAGGATGCTCAATCGGGAGCTCACCCATCTCTCTGAAATGAGTCGGTCTGGAAACCAGGTGTCTGAGTACATATCCAACACGTTCTTAGGTGAGAGCGACAATCTAACTGCACTTTAGGATTTCCTCTCAGGTTGTTTGTTTTGGGGGAGGTGGATGAGGGCACCAACTAATTTTGGAAATCAAGTGTTAGGAATTTTATTTGTTTTTATTCATTATATTAATCATGCAAACCCCTAAGCTTTAGAACCTCACATGAAAAAGTACATTTTTTTATCTCTTAGTTTTATCCAGGACTTTAGGGATTTTCTGAATTAAAGGTCTATAGTGCCAAAGTATGAAACTGCAAAATATGTTTTTCCGAGAGATCTATACATGCATTCAACAAATTCTTGTTCAGCACCAGCCATTTGCTGGGTACTAGGTATTTAATGATAAACTAGAAATGGTCCTTGCCCTCAGTGGGTTGATGGTCTAATGGTAAACTGATGAAGCAGAGCGATAGAATGCAGTTGCTAAAGAGACGCTTGCTGATAACAATAGCCGAGAGTTGTGTACAGGACAGCACCACTCCCACTGCCCATTCACAGAAGAAAAAATGCAGTAAGTGAACCTCAGTAACTTGTACATGTCCTTGATTTGACTTTATTTGGAAAACCAAATTGCTGAATGTCTTACTAGCATATTAACACACAAGTATGTACAAGGATGAGTTAGAGGAGCTTCACCCCATCAGGGATAAAGGTACTGACACATCTTGTGTCTTTTATTTGAAAAGAACAGCTTTTGTGAATCCAATGTTGACCTATCAGAGAACATTGGAGATTCTCTGTGCTTCCTATAAAACCTTGTTATATCATAACTGCTATCTCACTATAGTGTAGAAAATGTGGAATAGCAGGAGTGATCCAAGTCATTCAGATAAGCTGCTTAACTCCCACAGTGTGATCCATTTCTGCAGGCTGTTGGGTTTCCACTGCTGTTTTTATATTTACGCAGGAAGTGGCTCCTATTTCCAAGTGGCTATTTCCTTACTTGACAAGAGCAGTTTTGAAGCCACTGAGTGGATTGAAGATAGGAATGGAGTTGATGAACAGTGGAAATAACCAATGTGCTTTGCCTTTTCCAAGTCTACTATCATGATGAGTGTTTTGAAAAAATTAATTACAGCATCCTATCAAAATGGTAACCAGTGAACACATTTGATGTGATTACCTTGCAGTGAGATTTAGTTGCTTAATTTGCGGTGTCAAATTAAGTCCACATCAAGTTGTAAATACTCAACTTCTCTAAAAGGAGCTTTACCTGGAAATATTTCCTGGAACATACAATGATAATTTAAAACCTGTCCAGTTATATCTGTTATGCTTTTTTAAAAGGCCCAAGTAGCAGTAAGAGTAAATGTAGACTATTTTCTCTGTTTTTAAGATAAGCAACATGAGGTGGAAATTCCTTCTCCAACTCAGAAGGAAAAGGAGAAGAAGAAAAGGCCGATGTCTCAGATCAGCGGGGTCAAGAAGCTGACGCACAGCTCCAGCCTGACCAACTCCAGCATCCCGAGGTTCGGGGTTAAAACGGAGCAAGAGGACGTCCTCGCCAAGGTGGGAGAATGTCCAGGCTCATGATCACAGATACACAGCAATGCCTTTTCACGGATTTTGATCCCTTCTCTTTTAGTGGATGGACAAGTTTATCAACTTATAGGGGATTTTTCTGAAGACAGGAGTGCAGTTTATAAAGCTCTTTTTATATTATTTGGATTTTACGAATATGTGAATATACACAGGCTGTTTGTGCTGTGTGTTCTTTCCTTTTTGCTTCTGAATTTTATTGTTTAACCTTAAATAGTTAGACATCTACTATCTCTTCTGTTGTCAGAAGAATAGATAAAGTTTTTGTGAATGGATCTTATCTATTGAAGAAATTATTTGAAATTTATGTTGAAAGTATGTCAATATGTTGTATTGTCAAAGACAGGAGGTTAAGCAATACTATTCAGTTTTTAGTACGTCTGAGCGAACTTGCCTAAAGTGTCCCTTTACTTAGGTAGTGTATCCATCACAGTTAAAATGAATTCGTTTTTAAAAATCTACCTTCCTTTACATTAAAGTCAGTAATTTTTAAATGAATATGTTCATTGGTTCACGTTGCACCTTTCTGATTTTTTCGGCCTCTCTCTCGCCCCAGGAACTAGAAGATGTGAACAAATGGGGCCTTCACGTGTTCAGAATCGCAGAGCTGTCTGGGAACCGGCCTCTGACTGTTATCATGCACACCATCTTCCAGGTAACGGCTTCGTGTCCGGGCTGCACCTGGAACATGCATTTCGTCATCTTTGCTCCTCACCGTCTTTTGCGTATTTTGTACTTTTTCCTTTTTTGTCCTTTTACCTGGGAAGTAATAAGAATACAGAACAGTTTAAATATGGGCAAAATACAAGTAAACCAATGTTACTAATTTTCTTCCATTTAAAAAAAAGATATGTGGGAAAATTGAAATGATTTATTAAAAGAATAGTTTAAAAATCATCCACATGCTCCTGACTCACCTAGAGAACAGAGTATTAACTCTAAAAACATGAATCAGCCCCCTGCCGACTAGTCTTCAGATGTAATCTCTTCACAGTTTTGTGAACCGCTCTCTTCTTCACATCCGTTTTTCATTCTTGTTGAGCTCCCTGTGTCCCGGTGCAGGGTTAAGATTTAAATGAGGAGTTGAGGCTATAGTTACTCCAGGACTGGAGTGACAGATTACAGCCCTAGAAAGGATGTTGCATTTCAACCGATGTGATCTAGTTAGTAGCCAAGTCAGTGGTACTAGATTCAGACTAACAATGATTATGGGACACAGACACTTTTATACTGGCAGCTCACACCGTACATCTTGAGTTAAGCACTGTTGGGCTTCTGAAGGACAACTCAGCACTGCTTTTATCCCTAAAGTCCCTGGATCTAAGTCCCTCCTGTTGACCTGCTGACAGCAATCAAGACTCATCTACCGGAGGAGTGAGTACTCAGCCCACACAGAAGGCACACCTCAAGTACATGGCTTAGGTGACAGGGGAGGCCGTGCCGCTGGACACCTGCTACATTAGGTCATGCTACCAAGACAGGGGGTCATAGCAGCTGTACCTAACACACAGAAACAAACACAGGGAGACTGCCAAAATGGAGAGACAACGAATCATGGCCCAAATGAAAGAACAGATCAAAACTCCAGAAAAAGAACTAAATGAAATGGAGATAAGCAATCTATCAGATTAGAGGTCAAAACACTGGTTATAAGGATGCTCAAGGAACTCAGTGTGGGAACTTCAACAGCATAAAAAAGACTCAGGAAGAAATGAAGGATACACTGATTGGATTTAAGAATGATTAATAGAGAGTCAGCATCAGAGTGGATGAAGCTGACAATCAAATCAGTGATTTGTAACATAAGGAAGAAAAAGACATCAGTACAGCAAGAAGAAAACAGAATCCAAAAAAATCAAGAATAGTGTAAGGAACCTCTGAGACAACTTCAAATGTTCCCTCATTTGAATCATAGGGGTGCCAGAAGAAGAAGAGAAAGAGCAAGAAATTGGAAACCTATTAGAAATAAATAATAAAATAAAACTTCCCTAATTTGGTGAAGGAAATAGACATACATGTCCAAGAAACACAGAGAGTCCCAAACAAGATTGACACAAAGAGGACCACACCAATACTCATCATAATTAAAATGCCAAAGGTTAAAGATAAAAAGAGAATTTTAAAAGCAGCAAGAGAAAAACAAATATTTATCTATAAAGGAGTTCCCATAAGACAGTCAGCTGATTTCTCAAAAGAAACTTTGCAGGCAAGAATGGACTGGCAAGACACATTCAAAGTGATGAAAAGCAAGGACCTAGATTACTGTATCCAAGCAAAGCTATCATTTAGAATGGAAGGGCAGATAAAGTGCTTCCCAGATGAGGTAATGCTGAAGGAGTTCATCATCACCAAGCCATTATTATATGAAATGTTAAAGGAACTTACAAAAAAGATCAAAACTATGAACATTAAAATGGTAATAAATATATAACTATCAACAATTGAATCTAAAGAACAAATTATGCAAAAAAGCAGAGCAGAAACAGAATCGTAGATATAGAGAACATTGGAAAGGTGGCCAGTGGGGCAAGGAGCCTAGAAGAATGGAGAAAAGATGAAGGGATTAAGAAGCGCAAATTGGTAGTTACAGAGTAGGCAGGGCGGTGTTTAGAGCAAGTATAGGAAGTGGAGTAGCCAAAGAACTTACATGCATGACCCATGGATGTGACCAGAGCAAGGGATCACTGGAGGGAGTGGGGATTACTGGGTGGAGGAGGGCAAAGGGGGAAAAAATTGGGACAGCTGTAATAGCATAATCAGTTTTTAAAAAGAGAACATTTTGCCTAGACCAGAGTTCCCAGCCTTGGCCCTAAAATAAATAAATAAAGTCCCTGGATCTTCCCAAAGATTCCCGTTTTCCTCCCTAGACATTAGGAGAGAGAATGCCATTTCTACTCCCGGATGTGATTTTTTTTTAACACATTCTATGGAAAATCTTTTTATGTGAGGACAACATGTTAAGAGGATTTCTTTTCCTACAGGAACGGGATTTATTAAAAACATTTAAAATTCCAGTGGACACTTTAATCACATACCTTATGACCCTGGAAGACCATTACCACGCCGACGTGGCCTACCACAACAACATTCACGCCGCAGACGTCGTCCAGTCGACACACGTGCTGTTGTCTACGCCGGCTCTGGAGGTAAACCTGCTCTCTAAAACCTTGAGAATACTACCTTGCCACTCGTAAAGGTCATTAAACGTTTATAGTAAAGGGTATGCAGTACAGAATATAGTTGGCTTCATTGTAAGTCTATGAGTTTTAAAGGAAAAGACATGGGGGCAGTAAGTCAATAGCCTGGAGATTTTGTCTGCCAGTTGGCCAGGTATTTAGGGATTCATCTGTTCGTGACACTGCTTCCTGGAAACGATCTGGTGGACAGCCCTTAAACACATCTGTCTGGCTTGTTCAACTTTCATTTGTTTTTCTGGAATTTAGTCTGATGGCTTTTGCATGTATAGTTCAAAGGATGATTACTCTAAAATACAAGCAACACATTGATTTTTTTCCATAGAACTTATTAGAAGGAAACACCTTTTTTAAAAGATTTTATTTATTATTTTTAGACAGAGGTGAAGAGAGAGAAGGAGAGGGACAGAAACATCAGTATGTGGTTGCCTATTATGCTTCCCCTACTGGGGCCCTGGCCCACAACCAGGCATGCGCCCTGACTGGGAATCAAACTGCAACCCTTTGGTTTGAAAATCCACTGGGCCACGCCAGCCAGGGCAGGAAGCGCTTCTTTAATTTCACCAAATCCCAAGAAGTTGTTTCAGGAAATGTTTATTTAAGCAATTTGATTTCCTTAATTGTTTGGGGAAAGATTCTTTTTTACTAATGTATTTTATAGTTCACATTGTTTTCATTATAAAACTATGTTATTACCTCATCATTTGAGTGAGTGGTTCTCAACTGGGGGTGATTCCTTTCTTTTCCTTCTCCCCCTTCCCCCCCAAGAAGTATGTGGCAATATGTGGAGACTTTTTTACCTGTCACAACAGGGCCGAGGCGGTACATGCTACTGACATGTCATGGTTAAAAGTCAGGGATTCTGCTACAGTTCCTTCAATACACAAGACTACTTCACATAACAGAGATTATCTGGCCAAAAATATGAATTCTACTCGAGTTGAGAAACCCTGGTCTGAATGAAGGGGAAAAAATTATTGTTCGTTATTTTCTTTAAAAAATAATTTAAAATACTCTTTTTGCAATGTTTAAAAATATATAACCAATGGAAAAGTTTTTATCATAAATGATAATAATATTTAAAATAATAATAAAATATTTTCTTCCAAGATTATTACACTTAAAAAGGTTATGACTTCTAAACGACTCTTCCCGACACATTGTAATAATACATTTTGAAACTTCATTTGTTTTCCATCAAATTCTACTGAGTACTATTTCCTGTTTGTTTAAACCTTAATTTGTGTTGTAATAGAGTAGTGATGTTATCTATATTGTCTGGTTTTCCAGGCTGTGTTTACAGATTTGGAGATTCTTGCAGCAATTTTTGCCAGTGCAATACATGATGTCGATCATCCTGGTGTGTCAAATCAGTTTCTGATCAATACAAGTAAGTGGAGCTAGTCTTCTTTTCTGCAGAAGATATTTTTTCTTTGTGTACTTTAGAATGAAGGTCTTTATATACTTGGGGGTGTCTCCAGAGCCATAAAGTTCTTTTGAGATGTGTAAATATGCATTTTAATGAGAGTGTGTGTTAATGTAATTTAGTTCTGAAAATTATTATTGTATCCCATGAGGCATATGCTGTTTGAATATTTAGAATGTGTAGTCTATTTTTGTATCTTTTTGTAGCCTCTGGACTACCATCCAACAAAGTACACTTCCATGACTCACATATAGAAAGATTCGGAAAGTCACAGATTTCCTAAAACGTGTGGCTAGCCAAGTTCATTTTACAAGTTTGGTCTATGAACTTACGTACTTATCCAAGATCAGACAGGATAACATTTCATAGCCCAGCAACCATATAAGAACCTACACCACAGGGTCTTCAGGAACCACCGAAGCGTTAACTAACCATTAACACATAAATAGTAACACACGTGAGATGCTGCTGCATGAGTTCACGTTGTGGGTGGCGGGGGGCTAGGGCTGACCGGTTCCTTTCTGAGAAGAGCAGGGAGACCACGCAGCACAGTGAACACTTGGCCTTCTCCTCAGCCTGGCCTGATTTATTATTTTGATTGTTGTGCTTGTCATTTGTTAAAAACCTATAAAAGGTTCCTAATTTTATAGGTTTTTAACAAATTCATAAAAATTTTGTTTTAATTTAATGTTTTGCCTTTAAGAAAGGTATATATTTTTTATTTAGATTAATAACATCCAAAATTCAGACTAGCGTGTGTTGTTTCTTGTGTGCTACTCTATACAGCATTATGTGTTCCCTTATTATTACTTTAGAATTAAGAACAGAAAAAAATTAAGCAACTGACAATAAAGTCACTGCCTCCAAGTTCTCTGATCATTTATTTTTTTTTAATGAAGACCAGCTTTTTTCTTCACTGTGGGACCCTCCAAGGGCAAATGGGCTTAGGCTGGCACTGGCAGAAGGACGCTGGTGAGCACCGGGTACGTGGAGTCTGAGACTAAAGCGAGCAGGTCCTCGGTTCGCTCATGAATCTGATGGTCTCCCAAGTTCGAGACCCACGGAGATAGGGAGTGCAGAAATTTAGGGGAGAATTACAAATACAATGACAGTGGCCAGGGCTGTCGGTTTAAGACTTTTGCTGATGACTTGCTTGAGGTAAAAGGAGAACTAACTCTGTTTTTTAAGTATTTTGTTATTCAGTGGTGTTGCTAGGATCTCCTTTCCATGGGACCTCAGCCATACTGGGAAGCGAACTGTTCCCACAGCAGCTGCGGATTGCTGTTCCCTTCAGGGTGGGGCGTGATGAGGCTGTGTTATCCCTGAGAGAATGAATCAGCAGCAGCATCTGGTCCATGACAGTACCACAGGGCTGGTCGGAGCCCCAGGGCATTATGAGAATGACTGCCTTAGCTAGCTTTTGATTCCGGATCATGCCAGTAAGCACTTTATTTCAGGGTGCAGAGGGAGCTTCATAGCCAGTAGCCCAAGAAAGTTCTGACTTCACAGCACATTATAAAGGAGTCCCTTTAAAAACTTGTAAACTTACAATTAATAACTTTGTGAAATGCACTATCAAAATTATGTGACTGTTTTTACTTTGCAGTAAACTCTTTTTTTATAGACATATTTTCTCTTTCTCCCATGTGTTAATTGAGCACCAGTGGCTCAAACCAGCAGTGTTAGCACCTTAGAGCCGGTGCTGCCAACTTGTCCAGTGCCAAAAGCTTCATCTGCATTTCCTTTAATAAAGAATCCGAAAGACTTTTAATCATCAAATTTACAAACCCAGAGCTTGAAGGTCACCCATCTTGTTATACAAAAGCCCTGTGAGGTTGCAAGGCTTGCTTTGGTAGAGAGGCCCTGGAGCTCAGCTGTCTGATGCTGAGTCTAGGTACGCTCCTCTGCTTCGTGGTTGTGACGATGGTCTCCATTGTTTTGCTTGTGCTCATTGTAGGTGCCCAGTGATTTCCTACTAACAATGTGCGCAGTCATTGTAAACATGCTGGAGGCTTCCACAACAGATCATTTCTATCTAGCAGAGTCAGCTAAGCTTTTATAAATGATTTAGGTGTATGGGAGAATATGAATAAGATTTAAAGTTGAAATTCTAGCTGGGAAGCTGTAGAAGTCTTTTGCAAGGACAATACATGTAAATAAATTCATAAAATGCAAATAACTTCATAAAGCTTTGAATATAACATGCTGGAGGGTGTCGTTTAAAAAGAGCATTAAACTTCAGAGCATTTTTTTCTCAGTAAAGCATTCTCAAAACACAGAATCTATGCAGCATCAAGTTTTACTTGGAAAACGAGTCATTTTTGTTTTTAGCAAAGATGCCTAAATTTTGTGGAGAAAGATTTACCCACATGACTTTGTGTTCAAAGCATACGGCTTTTAATTGCAAGAGCAGAGGCATTTCGTTACGTTAGGGTGGAGCTAGATCAGGCCATTGATACACACGTTTTCTTTCTGCAGTCTCATTTTAAAACAAGCTTTCCATAGTTCTATTTGTATATTATATGTGGAATGTTATATTTCTGTAGAAATCTAATCCTTTCAAGGTAAGGCTAAATTCATGCTTGTCAAATGTCATCATATAGAAATAATTGCTTAGATCATCCTTTTTTGGCTTTTTCATACTTTATTTTTATATTTTAACATTGTTTTGTATTGTTGTTCAAGTACAGTTTTCTGCCTTTTTCCCCCATCATTATTTTATTCAACAAACAAATCATTGAGGGCATTCCCTGCACCACATATTGTCCCGGGAACACGTGCTCTAACGAGACCACGCCCTGGCTCTGCGGAGCTGACCTTCTGCTAGAAAAGACCAACCGTAACACGTGAATGTATGACATCAGATGGTACTAACAAGGGCAGAGAAAAACAACGCTAGTTAAGGGCACCAAGGAGCGAATAAACCAAGGGAGTGAGCCAGGCTGTTTCGTTTAATCTTTTGTCCTTGGCCACTGGATATTAAGTTAAAATCACTAATTCCCTTCTCCACTTCAAGGAAGAATGTTTTGTTCAGAAGTACCCAGGAGAAACCAGATAACCAAGCCCATTATATAAATAACTTCTAATTTTCTATAGGGCTTTTAGTCTCTAACTCAATTGAGATGTCTTTGGGAAGGACTGTTAAGATTTGTACACATATAATGACAAATAAGGTGAAATGTGGTAAATGCCAAATGAGTGGTACAAAGTATACAGGAAATCACAGGAGAAAGTGGGCAGTTCTGCCTGTGGTAATCAAGAAATGCTTCATGGAAGAGGTGACTCGTATTGTGCATTGGAAAAATGAGAGGGTTTCAACAAAATCATATAAACTGGCCGCCCTTACCCTCTGTTCCCTCACAGCGAACTATGAAGGCAACCGTCTGATTATTCCTAGCCTTTAAGGAGTCTACATAGAACTGCTGGACTGCCACCTTTGGGGAAAAATCTATCTCCAAAATACAGAATCTTACCCCCCCCTTTAGATGTGACCACACATCTTAAAACAAATCAGCAGTCACCGCCACCTCTGTGTAACAGCCCCAGCGGCTGGAGAGGCAGCAGTGGCCCACCAGTCTGAGAAGGAATGGGTTCCTGTTCTTTCTGGTCAGTCTGGACTCAAATGTCAGGAGCTACTGCTTTCCTAGGCAGGCTTGGCTAGGGCTCCTGGACAGCCTGCTTTGTGAAAGGTCATCCTTACCTTGAGTGGAATTCAGATTCTTTGTCTCAGCATTCCTACCACAGATCAACCTCTTCCTTAAAGCAGCAGCTCCTCATCCTTTATTCTGCAGGCTTAATAGCTGAATTTCTTCATGTTCACAGGGCATATAGATTAACCCAGGTTTTTATAAGTCTAGTCAGTTCTGTTAATGACCCTGATCTACATACAATTTGCTCCCTTAAAAGAACCATAATATATTCATTTGGATTTATTTCTCCAATCAGAAAACATTTTGCCTTCCTTTCAATGTTATTTAATAGGATTATACTGTAGAAACAATAATATCACGTGTAAGATCCTTTAGAGTTTAAAAGTTTTTTATTTCTATATGTTTAATTATTTATAGATATTTATAGTTAGATGCTTTCATAGACTATTTAAAAGTCAAATTGACCAGATACTGACCTTTAGAAAATGAGCACTATTGCTTTATCAAGAAATAAAAAAAGAAAGAGAGAGAGAAAGGCAATTATACCATACATGCAAACTGCCACTCTATTCATCTCTGTCTGAGTAGCTGGTAGCCAAAACTTCAATGAGGAAATTCCTGCTTGCGTAGTACTGATGAAGTCATAGGTTTCACTGCAGAAATGTATCTTGAAGCTCTCTTCTCCTCCCTAGCTTCTTTAAAATAGTCATCGAGTAGCACTGGATTTTGTTCTTAAAAAAGAATGTATGTTTCCAAATATATTTTCTGTACATTAGTCAGTAAAAAGATCAAGCATATGCACTTTTAGTCTTTATAAGGACTTAAGTGGAGTCAGATTCACTTACCAGTCAATCTTTTTAATGACTCTCACATACATCTGGTCTGCTGTTTACAGGAGCTAGTTAGAGGGCAGGATCTTTTACTGCCTAAAATCCACAGGTCTGGGGCGGTTGTGAGAAAGAGCAGCGTCCTCACCGTGAGATACACAGGCAGCCTGACGTCCATCTCTGTGTGACGCCCGAGTGTGCAGGTAGAAAAGACATGACACATGTGAAACAGAATGACTGCTCTCCTTCTCCAGAGTGGTGCTTGGAAAGGGAAATGGAAAAACGAATAAAGCTGCTCTTTCAAAGCTATTGTGTGAATAAAAATAAGTAAGAGCAGCCTAAACAAATCTAATATCTCGTGTGCATGTGTTCCAAACTGTTCTCGTACCCTCTCTGAGTACAGGCAATCCTACGTGATCCTTACATTATATGAAATGTTAGCTAGGTGGTGAACACTTATCAGGAACACAATATGTCATGCTTCAGACATGTTGCAAATATTAAGAATAATGTGATACTCTGCCGAGCTTGTAGAACAACCTGTGGCAGATCTGGAAGGGAGGTCAAAATTCATCTGTTCCGGTTCTTCTTCCACTTTAGAAAAGGAAAAGCTGAGGCCCACGGGGTGAAATCAGTCACATCAGGATTCACTCTTAGGATTCCAATGCCCTTGCCACTATGACAATAACTGGTCCGTTCTCTCTGAGTTGTCCTGTAGCGGAAAGGCCAGCCGAGGTATTTAGAGGAAACTGCTTCCTAAGCACAAAGTATATCAGAAGATGAAGAATAAGATAAGCTTAGAATAAATGGCTTTGCTAATCTTATCTCATCCTCCTTTTAAGATTCTGAACTTGCCTTGATGTACAATGATTCTTCGGTCTTGGAGAACCATCACTTGGCTGTGGGCTTTAAGTTGCTTCAAGAAGAAAACTGTGACATTTTCCAGAACTTGACCAAAAAGCAAAGACAATCATTAAGGAAAATGGTCATTGACATTGTAAGTAGTTGATAAAATCAAAAAAGAGGACTGTGATGCAAATTGTTTTAAAGTGAACAAGAATGAGTGTTAGGTGAAAGGAACTGTATATTTTAAAACCTATTATTTCACTTCGTGTTGGAGAAACTGCCCCTGCTGCTGGCAATGAACTTCTGTAATAGGTTTCTTTTTTCCTTTTTTGACTTCTAGCAGTTTGAACTTAAGAATAATGACAGCTTACCCTCATCATTCTAGTTTTATGTTCTGAACTCCTCTGGGCTGGTGAAGGCAGCCTAGATGATAACGAGCAGAGAATGCTGGCCGCAGCGTGAACTTTTTAATCCAAAAAGTTGGTGGCGGAGTGGGTGGGAGTCTCCATCAGAGACAGTGCCATTTAGAAACCTACCGTGATTTTAATATTTTCTCTGTGCATATCATTCACAGTGATTACAAGACACAGGAAACTTTCTGGTTATCAAAAAAGGCATTCTGTTAAGCTCTGTGCACACAGAGACAGGAATGGTCTGTCCTAAGTGGGCAAAGAATCGCCCAGAGAATCTGGTTTCTGAGTGAATGGGCTCCAATCAGCACATCATCATCCAGAAACCACTTTCTAGTCCAAGGAATGGGAAAAATATGTGATGATGCCTTAATCATGGGGATACCGTTTCTCTTTTTTCCCCGTCATAAAAGTGGTTGTCGTGCCTAACTTGCCTATGTGTTGCACACGCATATCTGGGCTTCCAGAAAAACTGACAATGAAGGGGAAAAGGCTGTGCCCCAGAACATGGTAGAGTTTCCACACACTGCTCTTCAATGACATAATGGCTTTTCATTTCCTCTCATGTTCTGAATAATAACTTTTATCCGCAAATTCTTTTTGCCTCTGGACTTTTTTACTTAATAAAATACTCTTTATTTTTAAGGTACTTGCAACAGACATGTCAAAACACATGAATCTGCTGGCTGATCTGAAAACTATGGTTGAAACTAAGAAAGTGACAAGTTCGGGAGTGCTGCTGCTGGACAATTACTCAGACAGGATTCAGGTAAAGCGTTTCTAGAATGTTCACACGCGTCTGTGTGTCTCGCTTTGGTAAGATTCATCTCTCGTTCTCCCAGCTAGTGACTTTAGTAATTATAAGCAGCAATTTTATCCAAATTCTTTATCTTTAGAATTAACCAGATGAAATGCTATTTCATTTGGATGTGCATTTTTTAAAAAAAGCCCTGACATTCCACAAAACCAGCGACTTAAGCAGCTCTAAATCTAATCAGCCGGCTGCATGAACAGTTTCTCTCGGAACTTAGATGCAGTAGAGGTGGCATAATTTGGGACTATTAATATAAGTGTGAACCATACACAGACACATCATGGTTGAACTGTTTGGAATGAATCTTACACTACATGTATTTTTAATTGTCACAGTCATTTCATGTGAATTTCTAGTAAAAAAAAAATTTAAAAAGGAGCAGGTGCTGAATAGAGAAAGCATTCTTCTATTTTAGGTCCTCCAGAACATGGTGCACTGCGCGGACCTGAGCAACCCCACGAAGCCTCTCCAGCTGTACCGCCAGTGGACAGACCGCATCATGGAGGAGTTCTTCCGCCAGGGGGACCGGGAGAGGGAGCGGGGCATGGAGATAAGTCCGATGTGTGACAAGCACAATGCATCTGTGGAAAAATCACAGGTGAGGCATGAAGCATCACGCTTTCAGAGAGAACAAAGCTACAACTTCAACATTTCATTCCATCGTATCCACATCACACCGTAGTTTAGTGATTTTTAAATTAGTCATACCTCAGAACTTGTTAGCTTTGGAACTCGTCAAACCCTGTACTGCTCACATTTGGATGAGAAAAATATATTTCAGCATGTGGCCTTGCTCGGGACTCACTGCGCTTGCTAGAACTTGTTTGAGTCACGATACCACCCCATGAGAGAAAATGCTTCATTGTATGGTACTCATAGGCTTTGGTACTTGTCATTAAGTTCCAGAACAAATTAACAAGTGCCAGGGTACCACTGTCATACTTTATTTTTGTAAGTTTAACTTTACATTAGTGTTTGTAAGCCAAAAATTGCCTTCATTATTATGATTTATATTCATACAGTCATTTATATGTTCTTATGGCATTATATTCATTAATGACTATATTCACATAGTATATTTATAGGTGTAGAAACAGTTTAATCTGAATCCATGTGGAGCGCACAACAGTATTTCTGCTCTCTCAGTTCACCTATATTTTGGCTGTTCCATTCTTCCTTAGTCCTAAGTCCTATACTCAAACTGGATTTCTTTTTAACTAGGTGGGCTTCATAGACTATATCGTTCATCCTCTCTGGGAGACATGGGCAGACCTTGTACACCCTGATGCCCAGGATATTTTGGACACTTTGGAGGACAATCGTGAATGGTACCAGAGCACAATTCCTCAGAGCCCCTCCCCAGCACCCGATGACCAGGAGGAGGGCCGGCAGGGTCAGACTGAGAAGTTCCAGTTTGAACTCACTCTAGAGGAGGATGGCGAGTCAGACACTGAAAAGGACAGTGGAAGTCAAGTAGAAGAAGACACTAGCTGCAGTGACTCCAAGACTCTCTGCACTCAAGACTCGGAGTCCACCGAAATCCCCCTTGATGAACAGGTCGAAGAGGAAGCAGTAGGGGAAGAAGAGGGAAGCCAGCCGGAAGCTTCTGTAATAGACGACCATTCTCCTGACACGTAACAGTGCAAAAGACTTTCACGCCTTTTTTTTTAGTAGAAAAATTGTTTCCAAAGTGCATGTCACATGCCACAACCATGGTCACACCTCACTGTCATCTGCCAGGACGTTTGTTGAACAAAACTGACCTTGACTACTCAGTCTGGCGCTCAGGAATATTGTAACCAGTTTTTTCACCTCCATGTCATCAGAGTGAGGGGGATATCGTCACGAACAGCATTTTAACAAGATTTCAGCTTGGAAATGCTGACAAAGCAGAGAAAAATCAACTCCAAAATGTTTCTGAGACAGCGTGGCTCATCTGACAGCCCAGAAGTCGATATGACTTGGGATTTCTTGTCTTTTTATTTGTCTATGATATTTTCAGTGGAAAGGAGGCATTACACAGACGGAGTGAACTAATGAATGAAGCAGCAAACGGGTCAGGAACAAGACACAGCGTGAATCTGTTACCAGGAGGAAGATGAGCCACAGAAATCACATAATTTTCTAATTTCAAGTCTTCCTGATACATGACTGAACAGTGTGGTTCAGTGAGCTGCACCGACCTCTGCATTTTGTATGATATGTAAAACGGACTTTTTGTAGAGCTTACTTTTATTATTAAATGTATTGAGGTATTATATTTAAAAAACTCTGTTCAGAACTTCATTTGCCACTGGTTATTTTTTTCTAAGGAGTAACTTGCAAGTTTTCAGTACAAATCTGTGCTACACTGGATAAATCTAATTTACAAATTTTACTTGCACCTTATAGTTCATAGCAATTAACTAATTTGTAGTGGTTCATTGTTTTATATACCAATGACTTCCATATTTTAAAATGAAAACTAATTTTATGTTGCAAGAAGCTCTTTTTGTAGGGTCTTCGTTTACGTTGCCTTTTGTTTCACTGTTTCCCAATAGCAGAGTTGCTCGTCACTGACACTTTCCTTCATGGTGTGCAAAGTGTTTGTTCAGTAAAACTTCCACGTGCGTTCTTTCTAATGTGTCTTAAGCTTCATGGACATTCAGTCATCAGTTGGTGTTGTCTGAAGCAAATGAGAGACATATAAATACCCAGTAGCTACAATGGTCAGCCTTTTTTAGATATTTTCCTATTCAGTGTCTTCGGGTGTCTGTTTGCTCTGTCAGTAGACCATGCACCCTCATTCCCCGAGTGCGTGTCTTCGTAATAACCCACGTACATCCTGCTCACTTTTATTGTTTCCACAGTCCGTTGTAGCCAGACGAACTTTTGCTCCTTGTGCTGCCTTATTATTTAGCGTGTGTTTGAACCTCTGTCCATGTTCATAGATAGGGTCCTATTGACCGTATCATTGCCATTTTGATTGATGGGGGAGAAACAGGTAGGTTAGAGTTAGCATCAATTTCTATGGCGAGGTCACATGGAATGACTAGCTTTTACTAGCTTTTGACTTGATTTACAGAGGAGAGGTAACAGCTAATTAGGCAGTTTTAAAAATATTAGCAGAACATATTCAGAAACACCAATATAACTAATGCTCTTTTGTTTCTATGATTTTGCCATGGGATTAAGACTATATGAGGAATATTCTTGAAAAGTCATCCGAAGTGTAGCAACCACCCTTCCTTAATGGACAAGCACGTAACAAGCGGGAACCACCCTGTCAGTTGTCGCTGCTCCATGAGTATCTCTCGTACAGGAGAACCGCCTGGGTCGCATGGAGGGAAAGGTCTGTGCTGCCACCAGGGCCAGGTGTTTGGCCATCCAGTGCCACCTTGGAATACTGGGTTGAGTAGAAAGATTCTGCAGAAATAAAAATTAGAGATCACCCTTGGCTGAATTTAGCAGCAAGAATTTTATTACAATTTTAGAGATTAATGCCCAGTATTTACCTTCAGTTGGCATCTTGGGGCATTTATTTCATGTGGACTTTCTTCCCATTTCAGCTCTTAATACAGTGTTTGCCTTCTCTGTGGAGAGTTTGGAACCCAAATGATCATTTTTCACATGGATATCCGAGAATTGACATAGAACTAAGGGGGGGGCAGTATCTGACTAAATGGGAAGTAAATAAAACGGTTAAGAAACAGTGTAACCCTGAAAAACATTTATGCTTAGGATGCTGCAGGAAACCTTCTGGAGACAAGCAGTAAATAATCAGCCAGGGAAATGACCGAGTGGAAGAGAGCTCCTGTTTTAATCCCCCTGAGACCCGCTGGTGGGGAACTCACGAAGCTCTGATCTTTCACACAGAGCAGAAAAGGAACCCACTGATTAGTGGTCGGGTTTCCACCCTCCCTCCCCTGTGAAGATCACACAGTAACCTTTCAGATAATGTCCTACCTTTGTCCAGAAACTCATTTCTGTTTTAGTTTTATTTGTCCCTGATGGAGGTCTAGAAGAAAAGGCAAAGAATCTAGGGTTTATTCCCTTTTCCAAAATAATCTCATTCCCTCCTCTCCCTAATACTTGGTATTTCCCCCACAGAGTGCCTAGAATCTTAATAATGAAAAAAAATTTTTAAACAGCAATATGTCACAAACAAATCCAGACCTGAAAGGGTTTACATCTGCACTAAAAAAGAGATGCTTTCTTTTTTCAATTTGTTAATTTTTTAATGGTCACATATGGTGAAGTTACCCACTGATTGACAATCAAATTGTAGAAAATGCATAATATCCAAGAGACAGGGACTAATGCACTGTACGATCAGTTTATCCTCTCCCTTCTTTCTCCTTTTTCTCCCTCCTTCTCTCTCGCCCAAGTGTGCTTCAGAATTATACACCGCTTTAAAAATAACATCCTTTCACAAGTGGCTTTATGTTTCCTAAAATGCCATAAGAAAATGCAATACCTGGGTACTGTATGGGGAAAAAATGTCCAAGTTTGCATAAAACCAGTGCATTTCAGCTTGCAAGTTACTAAACATAATAATGCTGTTTTAACTTTATTTTATTTTACGTCACTTAAAATTCACAACAAAATAATGTAGATAGAACAAATTGCAGATAAGGAAAAAACTTGAATGAAATGGATTTCACAGAAAGCTTTATGATAATTTTCGGATGCATTATTTATTTTTTGTGCCATGCATTTTTTCTCACCAAATGACCTTACCTGTAATACAGTCTTGTTTGTCTGTTTACAACCATGTATTTATTGTAATGTACATACTGTAATGTTAATTGTAAATTATCAGTTCTTATTAAAACATCAGCCCATGATGGGATGGTGTTGATATATTTGGAAACTCTTGGTGAGAGAATGAATGGTGTGTATACATACTCCTTGTACATTTTCTTTTCTCCTGTAATATAGTCTTGTCACCTTAGAGCCTGTTTATGGAAAATTCAAGAAAAACTATAAAATACATAAAGATATATAAATTTAAAAACATAGCTGCAGGTCTTTGGTCCCAGGGCTGTGCCTTAACTTTAACCAATATTTTCTTCTGTTTTGCTGCATTTGAAAGTAAGGTTACGGTGAGGCTAGGGCTGGGCATTTCACATCCAAGCTTTGAATCCATTGGTTTTCTGGTGGTGGCTGGATTTTGCAAAACCACAGATGACCTCCGGAAGATCCAGAGACCCTTTGGAGACACAAGCTTAAGGACTCCTTGCCATGGAGCCGTGCTGCATGTGGGACAGATGTTTTCCCCATCTGTTGATCTTGAGTTAGTTACACTGATTTGTTGTCTACTTCCAACACTACTGGGAAAATATATTCTTGTCCAGTGATTATAAAAAGTACTTTTGGCACCTAGAGCACATAGGCAAGTGAATTTGATTTGAAACTAGAGCCAAGGGTCTCACCTGCTGGTTAATCATTTATTCATCGCTTCCTATCATACTAAGAAAAGATATCACATGAAAAATGTCATTTTTGAACCCTGGAATTTTTCTTTAATTAAGATCAACTAAAATTTTAGTGTGTAAGTCCGTAGGATACACATTTTATATGATGCCAATTGACATAGCATAAAGGATTTACCGTTCTCTAGAATTTGTTTCTGCAAAACTTATATTGCTTTAGAATTTAAAAATTAACCTTTCACCATGGCCAGCTCCAAAAAGCTATGAAAAATTCCCAGTGGATGATGAGGAAACTTTTTTCCACTGCTGCCCAGCCCTCTGAAAACATGGCTTAGTGAAAGGAGAGATTCTTTTTTAGGAAAAAATGAGCCTTCTATTATTTTGTTTTATTTTTTGACACAAACTGTAGATTTTAGCAGCCCTGGCCCAAAGGAATTTGATTACTTTTGTTTTACACAGTACAAAGGGGACACTATAATTACAAAAACACATCCTTCGTTACTGATTTTAGTTGTTTTTAATTTCATTTCCTTAGATAATGTTCTCAGAGTGGTAACTTGTGTGTGAGCATTATAAATGACAAATCTTTTAGTGGTTTCTTAGCCTCTCTTACAGCCCATGGGGATAGTACTGTACATCAATACCTTCATATGAAATTTTTATATGCAATGGAAATAAAAGCATGGGTTGATTCTGCCTATTCATGACTCAATCTTTTACAAATAAAAGATTAACTAAAACTGTAGTTTAGTCCACACAGGTTTCTAATAGTAATAGAGATTATTAAAGTGACATGAAAAGATAGTGACATAAGCTAGTATTGTTACTCATAATCAAATGAAACAGGATTGTGTAGGTCAACCTTTCCATAGAAAGAAATTGCCAAGGTTATTTAAAATGGCCTACAGGGCTAAGCACAGTGTTTTGTAACAAGGCTTGGGAAGCGGACTTCTCTGTCTAATTGAATATTCCAGCACACTGAAAGTTAACCAGACATCTGACATTTGGTCATTGGGTAGCCACTGCAAACTGCAAGGTTCTAAAGACTCAACTGTGAAGAAGATGTGCAGCTTCTGCTTCCCTGACCTTGCACTGAGGAAAGGACAAAGGCCCTGAGCACCTTCACACATGTGCTCAGAAGAACCTCTGGTGCAATGACTCAGTGGGAACCTGAACTGGTTCTCTTCTGGCTTCCTTAAGGAAGTGTTTTGGGCTGAGCTCTGAAGCAACAGTGAGAGGAAACCAGCCAAAGGGAAAGTGAAAAGGAAGAGGAAGGGGACCCAGACAGGACACTTCACTTGCTAAAGTTCTGAGGTCCAAAGGAATTGAGGCCCCTGGAGAAGCGGAAGGAACGCATCCCTGATCCATCACTCATTATTCCTCCCCCTGCTTTAGTTTTCATAATGCTCATCACAAACTAACATCTACATCTGTTTATGTATTGCCTGTCTCTCCCACCAGAACAGGGCTCTGGGAGAGCAAAGTCGTCTCTATTATTTTGTCGGTATCCTCACACCTAAACCTGCCTGATGCACCTGCTTAACATTTGTTAAGTAAAGCCACCAAATTGATGTTGGATGTAATCCAGTCTGATAATCAATATGTTTTAGAATCTTAAGGAATCAGCAAAACTTTAGTGCACAGGTTAATCTCCAGACCTTAACTACTAGCATAGGGTATAGTACGCTCCGCTTATTCATGATTTTTCTTTCTGCAGTTTCAGTTATCTGCAGTCAGCTGCAGTCAGAAAACGTTAGATGGAATATTCCAGAAATGAACAAAACCATAAGTTTTCAATCGTGCGCCATTCGGAGTAGCCCGATGAAATCTCGCGAGTCCTGCTCCATCCCACCCCCAGGACGTGAATCGCATCTCCAAGCTGTACATCTGCCCCACCTGGTTAGCCACTTACTAGCCATCTAGGTTATCAGACTGACTGTTGAGGGGTCTGCAGTGTTTGTGCTCAAGAAACCCTTATCTGACTTTGAAAACAGCCCCCAAGTGCAAGCATAGTAACGCTGGCGATTCAGATATGCCAAAGAGAGGCCATAAAGTGCTTCCTTTAAGTGAAAATGTGAAAGTTCTTACGTTAATAAGGAAACAAAAAAAGCGTGCTGAGTTTGCTAAGATCTACGGTAAGAACAAATCTATCTGTGAAATTGTGATAAAGGAAAAAGAAATTTGTGCTAGTTTTCCTGTCGCACCTCAAACTGCAAAGTTTCGACTACAGTGCATGATAAGTGCTTAGTTAAGATGGAAAGGTGCTAAATTTGTGAGTGGTAGACAAAAAATGGAAAATGTGTTTATTGATGGCAATATGTTGTGCCAGAAAGAACTTGCTGCTCCCAGGAGAGAAAGAATGGACAATCAGTGAGTCCAGATTTGGAAAGAAAGGGACCACCTGAAATTTTCCCTTCCTCTCTGGACCGGACACCACAGAGTTGGTGGAAGGGCAGCTTCGGTAAGAATTCTCACTCTCGGCTTCTGAGAGTTTTCCTGGGATCCCGTGTGCAAGGTCCAAAATGAGTGGGGTTTATAGTAGGGAGTGAAGCCCCGATAGCTTCCAGAATGTGGCAGGGTTTTCCACTAATTTTCATTTTAATCTCCCATTGGCTGAGTGAGGGCATAACGGATAGCACTTTACTGGAGAGTCCCTGGGAGTGCCATCAACACTTCAGGGGTAGATACTAAGGCCTTTGAGCTGCGGCGAAAGGGTTTACCAGAACCTTTGAGTACATACCCTCCTTTTTCCAGTGTCTTGGTTGGGTGCAGTCGACACACAGATTTCTGAGCCGGTGTTTTGATGATGGACACAGAAGGGGGCAAAAGAGGCCCAGGTGTTTTCAGTTCTGACTTTGAGGCTATTGCAGCTGCCAGATAATTTAGTGGTGTTTACTGACTGCCCTGAGGTCTCCAGAGTGGAAAGGCAGCGTGGACAGAGGGTTGATGAGTGCTCAGGTAAAGGAAGGTGGAGAGGAGGAGTCGGTGTCACAAGCTTGTTTTAGGAATCTCTTGTGTTGTTGATTTTGCATTAGCCTTTTGCCATGAAGCTATTTTGGAATTTTGAAACCTTTTGGAGGCGTCTGTGTTCCACTTAAAATAGGTATCCCATTTTTGGTTGTTTGAGAACCTTTTACTTTCAAGGGCATGTCTAATTGGAACATTCCCCATAACGGCGGTCATTGTTAAGTGTAGGTTGTCTTAGTAAAAAGATCAAGGCGGTGGGGACTGAACATTCCAGCCCTCTAATGCCATGGCGGGCTCCCCTGGCAAACAGCCCCCGTCCTTTGGTGTTTTCCAGTCACCTATTACCCTAAGAAGACACCTTCATGGCTGTTGTCACTCAGGACATTCCAAGACTTTGGGGAGCTCTGTATCTGAAACTGGGAGAAAGGCCAATGGTGTATTTCTTGTTACAGAATCACAATATCACACATTATAAGTTGGCATGGGCTAGGGGTGTAAAGATCAAAACGTCATTCAAAGGAGAGAAGAGACTAACAGAAAATCACATCTGCGTTTTCCCTGAGAGACCATTAGTGTAATGGGCAGGGGCTGAGCACCTTAACAGTCCTCAGCTGCCCACTGTGGCTCTCTTCAGTCACACGTGCCCCTCTGCGCTGGTCATTGGATGAAGCCACACAACACATAGGGCTTGGGTCTGGCATGACAGGGGGCACCAAAGGGGCCAAATGACACAACTCAGAAGTTCAGGGGATTCATTTTGACCACGGGATTAACTTTATCCTTTGGAATCCGGAGATGAGAGGGAGCCAGGCTGACTAATTTCTTCTCCCCTCTCCCTGAACTGCTCTTTGAAGTTCTTCGGGACGATCCCGGAGTTCCTGCCCAGAGAAAGCCCCTTCCCAGCCACCTGTACGGTCTCTTGACTGTGAGGCAGTAGCCAGTATGGAAACATATCACAACACCCTGCTTCCCTTCTTTCCTACTTCCCTTCCTTTTCCTACTTCACTTGCTACTTTGGGCCTCAATCATTTTTTCCTCATCCTACTACCCAAAGGTGTGCACCTCCCAAATCAACTGCTACCACCATGATCCCTCCCTCTGCCCCTTGTTTCCTAGAGACCTTCAGCTACATGCCACCCTGTACATTCAGAATAGCAGATGCCAAACTTGAGTATACATGTACATGGGCGCTGTGTTTAAAATAGGGCCTTTATGGGCAGAGACTCTTACTTATCTTTGTTTCCCCATGGCTTTGTTCAGCGTTTGCCATATTGCCCGGGTTCTCAAACAGGAAAGAACAACAACTGGTAATTAAATGAATGAATGAATGAGATTGATGGGGAAGAGTGGGAGGGGAGGGTATGAATTGGCATAGAATGAATTAGAGACTGGGTATTCAGGAATTGAGAGAGCTGGGGACCAAAGGCAGATGGAGGAGAGTATGGGACTGAAGTGGAGTTGAAGGAATCAGGCATTCTAACTAGAAACAAGGGAGGGGAGGACAATGAGAGAGAGATTGTGGTTGTCTTCCCCTTCTGGGAAGTTTTATCCACACCCACTGTAAAAGACACCCTTTGTTGCCTACTCAAGTATTGCCACCCCTCCCCCCTCACTTGCTTCCTGGGTAAATGGAAGTTGGAATTTGTTTAGGTTTTGTGAAGTTAGGGATTTCCAGGGAGACTCGGCCTCTGCTCAGTCCCACAGACTGACTCTGAGCCCGAGGGCAGGTCCTCCCCGCTTGCTGGTGGCTAGGTCAGGGCAGGCTCGCAGTTCTGAACCAGGAGGCACAGGAGTCTTCGGGAAGCTGCCCCTCACTGTTACTAAGGGGGAAAAGGAAGGGACACTGTCTCTCCCGGGCTTTGGAAATTGTTCTTGAGGCTGTCATAATTGGACTGTTTTCTTGAGACCGTGAAAGAAGCCATCTAAGACACAAATACTGAGGGCATCAGAGCAGGTGGGAGAGCCTGAGTCTCTGAAGCTGTTTTTGACTCGTGAAATAATCAACCCTCCTTCTGAAGTATGTGAGACAGTGACTACCTCTTATAATTTAAGCCGTAAATGATTGCACCTTCTATTACCTGCCCCTGAAAGAATCTACTATCTTTTCTAACACACCTACTATCTTCTCTAACAACTTGTCCATGACCCTGGGCTGGAAGCGGGGATGGAAGTGCCTGGCACAGTAGGAGGGCCGGGGCTTTGGCCCCAAATTGGCTGAGTGACCTTAGGTGTGTTCATTAATCTCTGAATCCTACTTTAAAAAATGTTTTAAAAATGTAAATTAGGATATTAGAATCTGCTCTACATTCTTCACAGTGTTATGAGAGCAAATGGACAAAAGTTCATCTTACTGCAAACTTTAGACAATATTTTTCAAGCTATAGCCTTTAATCCATTAATGGGTTGTGAAGTTAAAAGACGATTTCAGTGAGCACTAAAAATAAAAAGAACTACAGTAGCATTAAAAACTTTACTGCACACCATACATAAGAATAAGTTTAGTTTTCCAAAATTCCCATTTCATATGTGTGTGTGCATTTGTACATGCCTGTGTGTATGTGCACAGTTGCCAGGTAAAATATATTTTCTGCTTTAGTTCATGCACCAAAGAAGTTTGAGAGGCATGGATTTAGAGCAAACTCAACATCTGAGATGGCTAGAGGACCCTAGATCTCTCACCAACCCCTACCCACTTGTTTAGGTTCCTTTCACAGCTCCAAAATGGATTCTAAA